CTGCTTCAAGGTTGTATATGGTTAGATTTTTGGACTTATGTGTAAACATAAGAAGTATATAATTCTTTATGCTTATTTTTTAAAATAGATTCTAACTTTTAAATGTTTTCATCATATTCTATAAAGCCTTAAAGTTCAACATATCAGTACTTGATGAAAAATACCTGTTCCATGTTATGCCTAAGATGTTTGATATTCAGACAGTGAGGTTAAGCTTAACAGCCTACATTGTATGATAATAACAATAAGCTTGTCTTCTGGAGGGTTAACAACCTAAGTGTGCAGACCAAAATTAGAAAAAAGGAGGGCCACAAGGAAAGCCAACATTTTGGCCCTAGCCTTCCAAGGTCAATTAAGACTCAGGACACATGAGAACTTGTACTGTAACATCATGTAATTCAGTAGTGTCCCAAATTTTCTGATAAAGGAGATTATGGAACCAAAAAGGAAAGTGATCGATGATGTAGAGTGTGTCTAAGGAGAGTCACATGGAGAGAAAACATTCTCTCAGGCTTTCACAGGGAGCACATTGGCCAAGCAATGGCCTTGACTCATCCACATGGCTGACACTGACAAAAGTTCTACAATTTGAGATACAGGATCTCAGGATAAATCCTGAGGGGATTTTACTGACCTTCTCAGACCCAAAAGCTACAACTCTTGTTGCATAGGTCCTGCTTTACCTTGGTCTTAACCATCCATCAGAAAAGTATAAAAATGAAGTATAAGAAGTAAAGCCATGCTGTTATATTGAGCTGTAGGGGACTCAGGTCAACAATTTCTGACATTGCCAGTCAAGCGGAAGACCCAAATACTATTATGGACTACTGAACTCTTTCAGAATATTTTGCTGAGTTTACACACTTATAATAGTTTAATGATGGAACTTAACAAAAAAGGGGATACAGGTGAATGTCCATTTTGTATCTGTGTATTCAAAGTGGTTAGGATAGATATATAGTTACATTCTCTTAATGAATAGAGGGATTTGCTCTAATGTTGTTTGTAAATAGGATATCAAGTCCACATCTTGTATAGCAATTAACCACTAGGAAGACAGTATGCAATGTGTTAATTATTGAAAGTGTCCTACCAATTTGGTTTGAAACTGTCTCATTGCTATTTGTTTCTCAATAAAACTATGGAAAAAAAACCTGAAGACTTTCAGGGAAAACAAAACTCAGCTTTGGCTCACATTTCCCCAGCCCACCCCTCAGCATCTTACCCTAATGGTATAAGTCCTGCCTCCCACACGGTCCCGGGCTTCCAGAACTACGACATTCAGGCCGGAATCATGCAGAAGTTTGGCTGCTGCCATACCTGGAGGAAAGGACATTAAGACATCAGGATAAAATATATCACAGGAGTTGGGTGTCGTGGCATGCACATATTATCCCAACCTGGAAAAGTGAGCAGGGGGATTGCAATTTTCAGCCTGGTCTGGGAAATTTAGCCATTTATCAAGACTCCATGTCAAAAAATAAAATAAAATAAAAATAAAAAGAGGTCTTGAGATGTAGCTTGGTGTGAAGGCCCTGGGTTTAATTCCCATTACCACACATACACACACACACACACACACACACACACACACACACACACACAGTAACAGGGTCTCCAAACAAGCTCTTTATACTCGCATATTAATTTGGGTTGGGCCTTAATTCAGTCATACAATGCTTGCCTAGACTGACCAAGGGCTTTGGTTCCAACTCCAGCTTTGCAAAAAAATTCTGGTATTAATTAATTTGATGAATTCTTACAACAATCCAAAGAGAGAGGGTAATGACAGTTCCATTCCTGTGGCTAAGGAAACTGAAGCAGAAACAAGTGTGCATGATCACATACAGAGTAGGTGGCCAAGCCAGTTCTGCTCAGCATCTATGTTGGTGGCCACCACACTGTCCTATCTGCCGTGGGGCCTCAAAGCCACCCTAATTGATGATCACATGGCCCATGTTTGCACAGGGAAAAATTACATTTCAAAAGAACTCTTTTTTTTACTTTATCCAAATCACCATGTCTTGAAGACACACTTGAATTTGTGCATTAATAAGAGTCCATAAAATGTGAGCCCATGGGAAAATGCACAACAAGTCAAAGCTTCAGTCACCATTGGTGGAAGACCTTAAAGAGGAACCTCATTTTTCAGAGAGATAGATATGACATTTCGTTACTTGAATTAATGTATTTTCCCCTCCCTGTTCTAAGGGCAAGGCCTAGGTTTCTAGTTGGTGCCAAGGTAATGATCCCAAAGTCCATGCCCATTTGTGCATGCACACACACACACACACACACACACACACACATGCAAGCATGCATTGCACAACCTAGATTTAAAAATACAGGGCTTGGAGTTTTAACTCCAGCTTCCTAATTTTGCCTTCATAAGAAAAACTTCTGTTTAAATTCAGAACTGCAGACAATTTAATGACATTTCTCTTATCAAGCATCAGTTCAACAAATGAAATACCATGCAGCCATAGTAACGGCTGTTATCAGTGAGTTCACATGAACTGCAGGAGCAGGTTGAGGCTTAAACAAAAGGGTGAGACAAATACAACATCACTCATATGCACCAGTATATCAGATGCCATAAAAGCAGTTTCTTTCAGTAAATGCAGTTATCTAATACTATCTGATATGTCGCATAAACAGTTATTAAAACAAACCAGGGACTTATCAGACCACTGAATGAAGTTCTCTCAGCTCAGGTACCTTAAAACATACTAAACAGAAAATTAAAAACATATCTTTAAGCAAAAGTAAGTTGTTGGAAATAAACACCTTGTAATTTCGCTCACTCATACTCATGGGAGGGTTGCTCCAAATGTTTGGCATCTACAACCAAAATGATTTGGAAAACACATGGCCCAAATATCAGTGGTTCAGGGAAGTCACTGCATTTTGGGAGGAGTTTGGGGTACCTAAATACAAGGAGCTAGAATCTGACCAGGAGGCAGACATTGCTAAGATTGAGATTGCTAAGAAGACAAAGATGTCACAAGACTGCTCAGTGATGACTGATAAAGGATTAAGGCTTTTACTGCTCAAACAATATGCAAGCAGTGAGTTCTTCAGAGCCTCCCAGCTCACCAACGGGTTTGCCCAAGTGGTCCCTTCTTGGTTGGTGGTTTGGAACTTCTAATACATTTGCCTTGGAAACAAAAATATGAAAGATGGTACATTTCCTGAGAAGCTTGGGAACTGTCAAGTACAGTAAATTCCCTTTGCAAAAAAAATCATAAATTAGCAGAAACAAATTATCCTTAAAAACATCAAACAAGGTAATTGGCATGGTTGGAACACATTTCCTTCACAACATAACATAATTGTAGTTTAAAAAAATTCAAGTACCTGTAACACCCAAAGCCTGTCTGATCTCCACCACAAAGTTGAGAGGTATTTTTAGCCTTATTTTAAAAGGAAAACAATAGCAACTTAGAGACATTAGTTTATACAGTCAGTAAGTAGGAGAGTCTGTGTTCAAGTGCAAAGAACTCTTTAGCCACCACCTTTATTTAGATCGACACAGGAAAAACAAAAAATACGATAATAATTCTATACACCAATCCTTGCAAGTGTCTTAAAATACTATCTATATCCAAGTGTAAAAATCTTAAACTTTTAGTTTAGGTTTTTTTTCTTTCTTTTCTTTTTTTTTTTCTTTTCTTTTCTTTTTTTCTTTTTTTGAGACAAGATCTCATTGTGTAGTACAGACTGGTCTTGACCTCACAATGACCCTCCAACCTTAGCCTCTCAATTGCTGGGATTATAGGGCTGTGCCATCACTTGACAGCTCTTTTAGATGTTTAACTTTTGCAAACAATTTAGGAGCATGCTTCTAGTATCTCTACACTCCTCAAAAGCTAATGAAACTTGAATTTAATATGAAGCATCAATTAATATTTCACAAGAAAACAAGAAGCAGTCTCTTTGTGCCCCTGGTAGGCATTCAGATAAAGAACTATAGCTCAGAACGCACAAATAATAGTCGATTAATATCCAATGTCATGAAATTATAAACCAGTGCATCTCTCTTCCTGAGTAGCTCACTTAGAAGAAGTTTCATGAAAGTGATGACTATTATCATTTAAGATTGGATACTTATTAATATGTAATACCCTTCTCTGACAAAACTAAACAAAACAAGGGGATACAAGTGAAGGACCATTTTATATCTGTATATACAAAATAGTTAGGATAGATATACAGCTACTTTCTCTTAATTAATTGAATAGAAAGATTTGTTCTAATAGTGTTTGTGGAAAGGATGTCATGCCTGCATCTTGTACTATGAATAAGCACTAAGAAGACAACAATATGCAATGTATTATTGAAACTGTCCTACTAATCAGTTTTGAAACTGTCTCATTGCTATTTGTTTTTCAATAATAGTATTTAAAAAAATGAACATCTGGAAATCAGTGCTATGCCGCATTATTAACATAACACATTTTCAGTTTTGTGCTGTGGAAACTGGCCCGAGTCTACTACTGGAGAAGTCTAGAGAATATATGGTACAGGAGATGAGGAAGGGGCCTCTTCAAAGTGTCTAGAGTGGGAGGATCTGAAGGGAAAGAAGGGTAAAATCAAAACCACCGCTTGCCTCATTCTTCCCTTTGTCAATCTGTTTCGTGCCCTTCATATGGAAATGTGATATTTAACACAAACTTTAAATATTTTCTGATGTAAAGTTAATTGTCTTAAAAACACTACAAACATCAGTCTGTCTATACTTCACAAGTTTTTTTTTCTGCCAGTTTAGAGTTACCAGAAAGGGTGAAGAGGACCACTATAACCAAAATTGATAATGAAATTCACTGTACCTCAAGGTATCTCTAACCTTCTAATCCCAGTAAACAATACAGGCATTCCCTCATGACCTATAAAAAGCCAAGAATATGCAGATAGCCCTCATCACTCTGGTCATTTCTGACACAGCAATGGTTTTATGAGGAAATTCTAGAAACCACCAAATGACTTTCTGATCAAAGACCTGGAATTCTTTGATGTCTCCAAAGTGAACACTTTTTTTTAGTTACTTAAAACAAATACACAAAAAAGGGTCTGGGGTAGGAAGAAAAACATTCTCAATCTGAAGTCAAATTTCTGAAGGAAAGTGATATTTGTAGATAAAATCCAAGTGTGAACTGTTAAACTTTGGCACGGAAGACTGTAAACTGTTAACATCATCATTGAAACAACCGACCTTTTGGGCAGCAACTGTGTGGTAGCTCTTCTTCAAGTGTTTCACATATAACAGATTCTTTGAAATTCCATGGGGTGGACAGATACAGAGATGAAGCACAGTGAAGCCAAATGATGTGCTCAAGATCACACAGCTAGCAAGTGGCAGAGCCAGTATTTATATCCAGGCAATCTGACAGTAGAATACATTCAACAGTGAAACACTGAAAATGTCCCCCATAGCATTGATGTAGGCAGCTGAATTAGATAGAAATATTATAGGCAGTCAGATACAGTAGGCCTTCAAGGGAGACAGTACAGAAGACAAGATACCTTGCAACTGTGAGAGAGACAGATGCTTAGGCTGTGGGCCACACCTAAAGACCAAAGATCAACCACTTACTTCCCTAAAAATAAGCATGTTTGATAATCATCTTGAGGAAGCCAGGAAGAGTCACTAATCCAACCCTTATAGGATAAGCCCCTCTTCTGTATTCATGCTCGCTTGCTATGTGACTCGCTTTCCCATTTCGTCCTGGATTTAATCAATTTTACTTGAGCACTGTGCTTGTAATCTTACTGGTTGACCACAGTTTTGTCTTACCTCATCTGTGAGTTCCCATGTTTTCCACTTTAGACCCACCTCAACTCATGGTTTTGCTCTGTAAAAATCCTTAGAAAAGGCAGATTCCTGGGCACCTGTGCAGGTCCCCTTCTGTCCCTCTGTTAGACAGAAGTTTTATTTCCCCCAATGAATATATTCTGCTCTTAATCTCTATTGTTCTTAAAATCCATTCTTTGGTCTTAGAGAGCAAGACCTTGGCCCAGATATCTTTCAGGTTGGGAGTTTCATTCCCCTACATCAGCATCATACACCATCCCACACAGGGGCGCTGAAATTGTGTGATTTACAAGAAGGCTTGCATCCTTGGCAGGTAAAATTCCCTCGGAGTGAATGCAGCCCACATGAGTACAGATAACTTGGCTAGCAGAGTGGAGACTGGATTCTATCACCCTTTTGCTGCATCAGCTGGGTGCTCATGAAGCTCAGAAAAGTTATTTCCTGAATGATACATCCTTAGTTATCTATTATTTCTCTCCTCAATGCTGGGACACAGCTGGTACTTAAA